CTGAATGTCAAATAGACCAGGAACACCAACAGTAAAGAGCAAAAGCTTTAAAAGCGCACAATAAGCATCTATAAACCTATGCCTTGGTTTTCTTTTGGAGTTCCTGACATTTCTATGCATAATAAACGTGTGCTTAAATGGCTGTTTGATTAAAATCTAATAGTCCAAGTACAGTGAAACTCCAATAATCCAGCATCCAATAGTCCGTCAAATAGACCAGGAACACCAACAGTAAAGAGCAAAAGCTTTAAAAGCGCACAATAAGCATCTATAAACCTATGCCTTGGTTTTCTTTTGGAGTTCCTGACATTTCTATGCATAATAAACGTGTGCTTAAATGGCTGTTTGATTAAAATCTAATAGTCCAAGTACAGTGAAACTCCAATAATCCAGCATCCAATAGTCCGGCACTTCTGATAGTCCAGCATCAAAATGGCAAGAGCCTAGTGAGCGAGCTTCAGCAAAAAATGAGTCACAAGGTAACAGCAGCAGCAGCTGAACTAGCAAAAAGGGTAAAAAAGGCTTAAAAAATCCTAAAATATTACAGTATACTGTATACAGTATGTACAATAAAAAGGGTTAAGAACATTTTATATACAGTATATAATGTATACAGTATATATATAAGCATTTTATAGTACCTCCTGATAGTCCGGCATATCTGATAATCCAGCACCGCCTAGGTCCCATAGGTTCTGGATTATCGGAAGTCTACTGTACTTACACACCAAGAAGGTTGGTAGTCAATAACAACAGGTTCAGTTAGTAACTTGTGTCTGACTCATGGCAAAGTGTTTCTAGCAGTTAATCAAAGAGAAATGAGACCTTGAGACCTGCCATGTATATGCTCCAATTAACTCAGATTAATAGTAGCAAAGCAGTTAAGAAGACCCTGCTATGCCAGATCTATTTCAGTACTGGAAGGGAAGCATTGTGTACTGCATTCTACTTTTGAGAAAAGGATAGATGCTTCAGTATGGAAGTCTGTGCAAGCAGACTTCTTTTTATCTTGGAAAGAAGTTCATGATGGTGCTAACAGGGTGAGAATAACATCAGGTTTTTTGGTGCTCATAATGTTCCACAAATTTTGTATGCCAGTGTTAGACTTTCTGTGAGAATCACATGAATGCATTGGTAAAACCATCCCAAACCTCTAAGGTATTAGGAGTAATAGTGAGGTGCAGTGACTGGGGTGAAGGACAGAAACCAGGCAAGTGCTGTTGAAGGCAAGCAAAACTGAAAAGAATAAAATTTGGAACAAATGTGACCAGAGGAGAAGCCATCAATTTAGTGGAAGAGAACATTACTCCGTGTAAGCTGCTGCAGAAAAATCAGTAAAGCCTGGAATTCGCTGTGCAGCTGAGTCAGACCTTGTTAGACAAATAAGCACCGGTCCATGCGGAAGTGGTGTTTCGGTATGAAGCACTCATTTACACTTTCCATAAGAGGGCTTGGTCCAAAATGGTTAGAGAAAACGGTATGGAGAGGTGCCAAGTGGGCAAATCCAGAATAATGAAAATAATGAGGAATAATGAAAATGCTATTCTTTCACATCAGAGGTGTGTTGAAATTTTTTATTTTTAGCATCAACTGGCCTGAAGGCCAAATTGAGCTCGTGGGCAAAGGATGATGCCCTGCCACAAGCAGGTTTTACTTTAACAATAAGATGATAAGGTTTTACTTTAACGATAAGAATGATAACATCTTTATGATCTGGATACATTGCCAAGAAACACTGGAGACATTCCACAGAGATTTTAACAACCTACACCCCAATCTCAACCTGGACCATTCTACACGAGAGATCCATTTCCTGGACACCACAGTACAAATCAACAATGGAAAATTAGACCCCACCCTCTACAGAAAACCCACTGACTCATACAGTTACTTACATGCTTCCAGCTCCCATCCAGAACACACCACACGATCCATCGTCTATAGCCAAGCCCTTCGATACAACCGCATCTGCTTTAATCCCACTGACAGAGACCAGAAACTTCAGGATCTCTACCAAGCATGTATAAACCTCAACTACCCACCCAGAGAAATAAAAAAGCAAATTGAAAGAGCCAGACGAATACCTAGAAACCAACTACTTCAAGACAGACCCAAGAAAACCAACAATAGAACCCCACTTGTCATCACCTACAGCCCCCAACTTAAACCTGTCCAACACATTATCAATAAACTCCAGCCTATACTGGAACAGGATACTAAACTCTGAGAGGCTCTGGGAGACAGACGCATAGTCTCCTATAGACAACCACCTAACCTCAAGATGATTCTTACCAACAACCACAGGACATACCACACTAATACCAACCCTGGTACCTTCCCTTGCAACAAACCCCGTTGCCAGCTTTGTCCAGATATTCACTCTGCTGATACCATTATTGGACCCAATCAAGTGAGTTATAAGATCAAGAACACATATTCCTGTGCATCCAGAAATATAATTTATGCAATCATGTGCCGAAAGCGTCTGTCCGCTATGTACATTGGACAAACGTCTCAGACACTTCGCCAAAGGATCAATGCCCACAAAACAGATATCAGACAGGATCACAAAGAAAAAACAATTTCTTGCCATTTCAACCAGAAAGGAAATTGTCTCAATGACTTGATTACCTGCATCCTGCTTCAAAGACCTTTTAAGACTTCACTTCAAAGAGAATCCTCTGAACTGTCATTCATGCTTAAATTCGACACTTTACACGCAAATTTGAATAAAGACGCTAATTATCTTACCCATTACAAAGATAGCTTCCCTAATTATCACCTCTAATATCATTAGCTCACAGACATTTACCTCTCCTCCCTCCCCCTCCTCCATCCCCCTTCTGTTCTGAAATTTGATTTGTCCTTTTCATATGTGTTCATTTTTTTAAATTGTATCCTTTGGTATATATGGTTGTGACAATTTTCTTCCACTATTTGATCTGAGGAAGTGGGTCTGGCCCACAAAAGCTCATCACTTATTAAACCATCTTGTTAGTCTTTAAAGTGCTACACAGTCCTGTTTTTTGTTTCAGCTGCACCAGACTAACACGGCTACATTTCTACCAAGATATCCTCTCTCCATTTTAAAACAAGGTCATGTTTAATTTAGATATCATGTGTGTTCCTGAGGACGCAGACTGGCATTTGGGGAGGTGAGGGCTATCCGAGCTTTGGCAGGGCACTGCTGTGAGCCAAATACAAAAGGGTGTGCTTCACCTCCCTTATCTTAGAGTGTGTATAAGCCATTAAGTAGTGCTTGTTTTCATGTTTTTCAGGTGGACACTAGTTTGCAGAATGGCTTTGCCCCTGGTATGAAGCTAGAGGTTGCTGTCAAGCCTGACCACACTACCTACTGGGTAGCCACCATCATCACTACCTGTGGGCAGCTGCTCTTGTTACGCTACGATGGCTATGGGGAAGACCGCAAGGCAGACTTTTGGTGTGACATCATGACAGCTGACTTGCACCCAATTGGTTGGTGCGAGCAGAACAAAAAGATTCTCAAAGTGCCTGAAGGTAACAACTCCCTGTGGAAATGAGGGAGTAGGGAACTTATTTTTTGATGTATGCTTTGCTCTTTGTAACTGAAGGTAGTAACTACTAGGAGAAGCAATTTGTATTTGCTTTCTTAACTGTTGAGCTAATTTGACTGCCCCCTTCATTTCAAAAACGTGTATGTCCTTGCAATTATAATGAATCCTTTTATCTTTTGAGGTACAGCAGTAGCTTGGACCCAACCAAATTAGACTTGCCCTTAAAACATAGATTTTTAATACTCAATAGTTATTGCCACCCAAATTCTTTGGTTTTGCTTTTTGTTAGGCATTTGCCAGAGACATGATTTTTTTTCTTTTCATAAAGCCACTTGTTTTTACGTAGAACCTGCCCTGTAAGGGTGCATCTACACTTATTTCGAGTTAATTTTGAAATAGCTTATATCAAAATGTGGTGCTGTCTACACAGTGCCAAATTTTGAAATAGAGTGCTATTCTGAAATGTCCCTTAATCCTCGTGGAACAAGGTTTACAGGGATGTCGGAATAGCACGCCCGTTATTTTGAAATAATGCTGTCAAGATGCGGAAAATGCTATTTTGGGATACTGGAAGTATCCCGAAATAGCGCAGCTATCTAGACGCACCCTAAATGACTATGCCTTGTGCTTATCTTCATTCCCAAAGCTATGTTTACATCACGGGAGCGTGATGTAGAAAACATAAAATAAAACAAATTTTGAGCTGCACACTCAGTGTTTTATTAACCCACCTTACTGGCCCTCTCTGTAACAGAGTCTGTCTGACCACTCCAGTCTCGGTCTCCTCGACATAGAATGTCTGTCCTCTTTCTTAACATTCTTTTTTCCCTTCATTGCCGCATACCCGTGTGGTGACCTCCCTGAGGTCAGTTACCAGAGGCTGGAAAGAAAACAGCCAAAGGATGATCTTTGATTTGAAGATGCTGTTGGGGGTGGGCTCTTGGTTTTGTTTCACTTGGTGCCTGCCTGTGGAGTGAAAGAGGGGTTTGTGTTTGCTGCCTCACATCGTTTCTGGGTAACTGCTAAGAGCTGGTGCCCCAAGAGCAGCTCCCCATATTGGCATCCTGCAAAACCTGCTTATCAAAGTGGTTGAAACTCCCACTTTCAAGGCAGGTGAAATGGGGATCAGTTATTTAACGAAGTTTTATTTAAAACTTCAGACCTGCCCATTGTCACCAACACTTGTCAGTTATTTGAAGGCTTTGTACTCTTGTATGAAATTGAAGCAAAGTTCTGAGTTGACCCTGTCTGTTTAAATAACACTACTGTGAAACCTTGCTTAGTAAGTACTCTCAGGAAGAGTGACACTCTGATGTAGGTGCATGTGGACTTTCTTATTTACGTTTGGATATCAAATATACTTGCCTGAGTGAAATGTCACAAGGGCATTCAAATGGCTTGTTGCTTGAAGTAGCCTTTTGCTGGCCACAGAAGTAATCCTTCACCCTTGTTTTTTGTTTAGGTATCAAGGATAAGATATCTGACCAGGAAGAATTCCTTCGACAGACACTGGCAGGTGCATGCAGTGCTCCTGCTAACCTACTAGAGGGTGTGAGTGTTTATTCAAATAGACTGACTTAACTCAACTTGAAACAACAGTCAGCCTTCTTTTTTGGGGGAGGGAGGAAGGCACTCTTAGCATCTTTTAGCTCAGTGTATTAAGTGCTATAGCTGTAAAATGTTTAACATCAGAAAAATATGTTCCGTCCGTCTTCTGGTATCGGTATGTAACATTTCTGTTTTGTCAAATGCTTTCCTGAATGTGCTTGTAACTGCAGGTTCAGACTCTCTTCCACCCACTAATGCCTGTCAGAGTAAAGAAGTGACTTATAAATTGTCTTCCAGTGCCCAGCCCTTTCTCTTCTCCTGTTCTCCTTCCAACAGCTTTGTAGAATCTCTTCCTTGTCTGACATTCAAAATATGCTTCCTTCCTCAGTCATGTCCCCTGTTTATCTTCTCTTTCCTACTGAACAGAGGGGTTTTGATTGGAAGTTTTTTCCCATTCCTTTTCGTCTCCCTCCTTATCTAACGTACCTCTGCTATAAATGGGACAAATTCACAACTTTTTAACTGTCACCTTCTCTGTGGCTAGAACTTTGGGGATTTGAATAAATTAGAACCACGAACAAAATCTTGACCACCTTGAGCAGTCTGATTACACTTTGGAAGATGAGTGCTATGCTTACTATTTAAATGTTTATATTCCTCATTTTAACAAGGGCATCTTGGCTTCTTTTCTGTCCTGTCCTCTTACGTATGTAGCGCCCCCTCTCCACCCGGTTACTTTCTTAATGGCAATCTGCTTACAGGTTTTGATGGACAGGTCTGGGTTCTTCTGGATCCCGCCACCCACCTAGCAGGGTGTATCCTCTTTATTTTTCCCTACGAATTTATTTGGCAGTGCCTCCTCCGCCCTCACTCCTTCCTGGCAGGGTCACCAGGGCAGCTTGGGAGGAAAATTCTAACCACAGGGTAATCTCCATTTACTTGCCAGATAGTTGGAGACTTCCAAGAAATAACACAAACGCATACAATATATTCAATTCAATAATTATATTAAACAGGAGACATAGAACAGGGGAAAACACTATTTTTAGGTTCACCGGTGCCCAAGCTGCTAATACCTGTGACTTGCCCTAGTCATGTGGCTTGATGTAGCAAATGTAAGATTAGTGTCCTGTTGGTACACGTACTTTGTTGGGGCCCTTGATGACCTATGATCACAAAATTCTTCTCTGCAGTGGTTTAGCAGTGTGGTTACTGGGTTCAGTACAGCCCAAAGGACTCACGAGCGGGATAAGGTGGTGAATCCCTCCACAGGTTTAATATGCAGAAGGTTATAAAATCCCCAAACCCTTACTCCCTGTCTTGAGGACACTGTTCAGGGAGTAGGGGGTCCCCAAAACAAATTCCCTGACGGACTAACTAAAAGGTGGTGCACTCACAAACTCCATGAATGATCCTCTGGCTCAGAGAGGACTCTGGACTCCTCAGTTACTGCAGAGGGCTGATCTCTGCTAGCAAGGATCCTCTTCAGGCAGGAATCAGGCTGCTTCGGTCTCAGGACCTCCCCTCACCACAACGGGGTGCAGGGCCCAAGGTGCAGATTACACAACTGTACTAAAATCCAAATTGTAGTCTCCTAGCCCAGCACCCAGACACACACGCAGCAGGCAGCAGCCCTGAACCAGCAGGCAGAGCAGAGCTGACCATGCGGTGACTGGTCTCACCTAAGGAACTGGAGGGTTAACTCAGCCTGGCTGGAGAAGTTTCCCAGCAAATTGGGAATCAGGAGTGGAGACGGATAACCCAGCTGAGGAATCTTGCTTTCGGGTCCCTAGAGGCCAGTTCTCAGGGGGAACCCTGCATGCAGGCCTGGGGCTTACCAGCTCCCCACACAGCCAGCCCTGCCCTTGCCTTGCCTGGCTCCAGACTCACACCAAAAAAAAAAAATAGCTTCTCCCCCTTCCTGAACTCCCTGGGAGGGACATCTCACTCCCTACTGGTTGCCGGGCAGACTGAGTTTGCCTTGGCTCCCTCTCCCTACCAGGGACAGCGGGCCTCTCCCTGAACTGCCAGCAGATAGAGCCCCAGGAACTAGGTAATCTCCTTGGGGGCGACACGTATAAAAAAGATGCCTGAATTTTTAAAGGATGGGCTGTAATTCTCCAAGACCTGCATGTGCAACTGGCCAATGCCTCTGTAACAGATGAACAGCACAATGGTCGCATGCCTTTGCAAAAATAACCATAATTTTATGACCATGACTGCAGACCTGCAGCCATGGCTTGTGTGTCCTGTTGTCTGTTTGGTGGGCCACAGCACAAAGGTGTGTCTAAGACACCGTGTCAGTGACCGTGCAGAAGCTACGTAACTCCGTCTCTTCTCTTCTCTCACTTTCCTTATGTTTTCCTTTTGTGCTCTCCATTTGGGCCTGCAGCTTCACAGAGGAAAGAATCCCTTGGATTTCATTGCACCCGGTTCCAGGCTGGAATGTCAAAACTCCCAAGATTCCCTGGAAGCCTGGATTGTCAGGGTGGTGGAAAATGTTGGCGGCAGGCTCAAGTTGCGCTACGAAGGGCTGGTCGATTCTGACCAGTCTGATCAGTGGATGTTCTACCTGGATCCATTTCTTCACCCAGTGGGCTGGGCAGCTCAACAGGGATATGCGCTCCAGCCTCCAGCAGGTAGAGGGTAACATTTTAAATCTGTTGTCACTAGAGCTGGTGATCGTGAGCTTGAGACTGCAGTTCCCTCCTCTGGACTCTAAATCTGGACTCCAGATCCAGGTGTGTGCACACCACAAGACTGAGATCTGACAAACCTCCCACTCCCATGAAGCATGAAGGAACGTTTCATTAAACTAGGGGGCTGTGCCCCCTGCTAGCAGAGCCTGCCAACCCCCCTGTCACGGGGGATAGGCAATGCCGGCTCTCCCCCCAGCCACCGGGAAGGGCTGGGCAGTGGTCGTGCCAGCCAGGGTCTCTTCTCCTTCCCTCTGCTACCTCCTTCCTGCCCTCCTCTCTTCCCTGCCAGCCAGGGCCCCCTTCACCATCCCCTCCATTCCCTCCTGGCTCCCCCCTTGACTCCCTCCTTCCTCCCCACCCCCCACCACGGCCTAACTAACTCCAGAGGCCAAGCGGTGGCACACATCAGGCCCGACTCTAACCCTGGCAGCTGGGCCAGGCCAGGCCCAGCTTTCCCCCCCCCCCCCGCACACCAGGAGGGGCCAGACCCAGCTTTCCCCCCACCCGCTGGGGAGCCAGGAGGGCCTGGACCCAAGCAGTGCTGTCCCTTTTTTCTCACCAGGAAGGTCCAGCCGGGAAGGACTGGGCCCGGCTTTCTCTCTGGCCACTGGGAAGGGGAGGGGAGGGCTGGGGCTGGGAATGGCCAGGCTGGCGGTGGGACATAGGGTGACATGGTGACATCACGCTGTCATCCCCCATGAAAAGTTTTCCTTACTATAGTGCGGATAGCATGGCCGAGGTTCCACCCACTTGTTCTAATGTTCCTAGCTGCTTTTCCCAGTCATCACCTTTAACTTGCTTGTATTACACATTGAATGTGGGGGAAGGTTTGTCTTTTGAGGATTATTTTGATGGCCATAGATTTTGGTTGGAGAAAAATAATCCTTCTAATTAACAGTAACTAAATGATGCTGTATTTCCTCTCTCAGACGGTAGCCTGGGATCCCAGAGCTCTACACCAAAGTCCCCGCTTCTTACTCTGTAACAGCACATCTGTAGTAGAGCCACGCCAATAAAGACATTTCAGCCCACTAGGACGCCTCGACTTCTATCTGACATGGGGCTGCAGCCCTACGTAGTGGATTGTCCTGGCAGTTAGGGTGCCCCAAGGAATGAGGGGATGAACAATGCGTAAAGTGCAAATGTTTATCAATGTAAATGGCTCCTCTTGGAGTTCAGGGAAGTGGAGATGGTGCCACTCCCACTGCAGCAGAAGAGCCTCTCCCATCAACAAAACCACACAGGGCGATAGGTCATAGCACATAAACTGAAAGGGGCTAATTTAAATTGAGAATTGATTGTCCAAGTGTCCCAGTATTGTCTGAGCTCACACCTTAGGCAGTAATTAGCTAAATAGAAGCAATCTTCCAAACATGCTATTTGCCATGTACCTTTACTTTGCTTGCTGCCTGTTTAACTTACAGCCATAAAAATAAAGGAAATGACTGGCAATAAATCTAATTTCATTAGTAAATTTGGTATTGTTATTTCTTTTCTTATACCACATCTGTGATCAGTATAACCCCAGGCTCTCCATCAAATTAAAGATTTAGACACATATTTCCCCCAGTGGAACTTGATTTTATGTTGTCCCTCTTAAAGCATTTAGAAAAGCTGTGAGTTGTTAGCCAGAGCTCTGAGCTAAAGTAATAAGGTTTCTTAATGGATGCTCTGCTTAGCACTTAATGGATCAAAAATAAGTAGCTTCATTTTCTGTGTGAAAACCCTGCTCATTCACTGTGCAACCCCTTTTTTCCCCCCCTTGAAGCTATCCGGTCCCTGAAGAGTGAAGCAGAATGGCAGGACATCCTGATAAAAGTGAAAGAGGAAGAAGAAGGGTCCTCAGTACCAACTGATCTCTTTAAGGTAAAATATCCCTTGAAATCCCATGACAACACACCACCTCCAAGCTTCTCGTCTGTCTTCATGCCTCTCTGGCGAGATAGCCACACCAGTCTTTCCAGCTAAAGTACAACCCCCATCTTCCCAGGAGAAAGCCCCCCCCTCACACTTTGCCTTGCTTCTGCTCTGGTAGAGATAGCAGCAAGTTAATTTTCTCTTCTGCTTTCCTGTCCCATTGAGGAGACAGCACATAGCTCCCTCTGCTGCTCTTTTGCTTCCTCTCTCTCCAACCCCGTTTCCCTGGATCTCTAATTTGCGGACACTAGCCGAGCAAAGTCCTCGTGCTGCTTTCCTGCCTTGAGCCTTCTCCCAGGAACCAACTACAGCATCCTTCCCTGACTTTTACAGTCTCACCTGCCTTGCCTCAGTGAATCACTTCGTCTCTCCCCTCTGTTTGTCCTTGATGCTCTATAGACCCTGTTGCTTCCCCACCCTTTTAATTGGCCAAATGGGAGCACCTGTTCTGGCTCAGGAATGCTGGACCTACTTCATTTACAGGGCCTGGCCATCCTATGGTTAGGACCAACCGCATTCCCCCCTGATATTAGTGGGAAAGCTCACAACTTCAGTGAAAGGACAGTTGCCCACGTGTTTCCATAATACAGTTCTTGCTGCTGGTCAGTCACTTGTGCCACATTTACTGGAACAAGGCTGAAAAAGTTCTACGTGCTTAAAGGTGGAAACTGTCGGGTGTTTTCCATTAAGAAACATGGTTAATCTGTGCTGTGATCTTGTGGCTTTCAGGACAAGCCTGTGATTGGAGTGCATTCATTCACTGCAAGCATGAAGCTAGAGGCCGTGGATCCAATGGCTCCTTTTGTCCTCTCTCCTGCTACAGTTGTTAAGGTACCTGCGTTTGTTCGGCACGTGCCCAGCTATGGCTGAGGCTTGTTTACCGGTCTTGCTCTTTGCTTCTTGATGGATGAGAATTGCCTGTGCGTTAAAATCTTACATTAAAGTTTAAGCTGAAGACTTTGGCTTTGGGTCAGATGACTTTATCGCAGAGTGAATGCTGTTGAGTTAAAAGATGGAGCAATGAGAATCATAGTTTGAAAAATGAACAGCCAAAATGATCAAAGCTGGGTGTCTAAAGTTAGACTTTGTAAATCCAAATGTGGGCTTTGTCATGGAATCACAGGGTCAGTTCTCTCCGCTCTATAGTGTCTCTAGGAGGGAACCTCCACCCCATCAATGTGACGGCCCCTTCTCTTTCTGTCTCTGGAATTAAGCCCTGGGCTCCACTGCCTCCTGGAACTGTACCTCCACCCCTTGAGCACACCTCTCTCTCTGAGGCACCCCCTCCCCAGAGAATCCACTATGGTCCCAGTGGAGGGTTTCCACACGCAGAGGAAGCAATGCAACCCTGATACGTGGGCTGGCATGACTCTCAGCCAGCATAGAAACAGAAGGCCTTATTGTACATCTGGAACGTGGCACAGAAAGTTCTCAGGGGGCCACAAGCATAGAAAGTCTTAGCAAAGTCCACCAGGAACTGTCCAGCATCCAGATGAGTACAGGTGTTGCTTTTTGCAGTGCAGAAAACCATTTCTTCCGGCAGCCCAGGCTGTATCACCTCCAAAGCCCCTTCTCCTTCCTTGGTGTTTTTTCTCACTCTCAGCTGGTGTCTCTCTTTAGCCCTTTGTTCTCCTGCTGGTCCAGGCAGGCTGGCTTTCAAGATGGGGTGTGCCATAAATTGCTAAGTTACAAAGTGTCCAGGCAGCCTGGGTCCTGGCTGCTGGGCAGGGTCACACCTGGTTCTCTGTAACAATAAACACCCTTTCCTACCATCTCATTAAACATGCATCACATAGGGGAAACTGAGGCACACAGCATTCCTACAAAATGCCCCACTTTATCATTTCCATTCACACAATGCTGAATAGCTGCTGTTAACGTCTGTGACATTGGATGATTTTTCGAAAGATACTAAGTATGGATTTGGAAGCCCTTTTTACCAACAGCTTTGTGTCTTAGCAAATATCTAAAAGGTTGAAGAAGAGACTGTACACCCGCACACGAGGCAGGTTCCGAAAGAGAGTGTAAACCCCAGGTTACGCAACATGTTTAGTCTTCTTTTATGTATTGTCAAACAAATGTTGCACTCCCTTTGCTTTTCTCTCTAAGATTAATGTTCTTTGACTCTTGCTCCTACATCTTGTCTTACATTTCAGACATGTTACTTCTCTTTCCTGTAAACTTTAAATATGTGGTACTAATGTAATGCTCAGGTACCGCCAGTTCTGAACAGAAGAATTATTATGCCGCTTCTCTGTTTGATTTGTTTATCTAACATTCCAAGTTTTTAAAAAAAAGTGTCATTTGTGTGTGTTTGTGGCAGCACTGCATAGCTGACCCATCCCATTATATAATTTTTTTTGTGGCTCCATTTCCTAACAATAGTGCTCATTCTTTATTTGTGTGTTGTTCACTTGCAAGATGTCACACCTTTGTGTCTGACCAAGTATTTCTTTGCTTCCTCAGTTCTGAAATTAGTCTCATAAATCTGTCTTTCAAAAACATATTGGACACACCTCTCCAAGCTTTGGATCACATACAAATGTAATCCTCTCTCATCTTCAGTCACTACTGAAAACAGTGAATTTGTGGAATTACTAAGCACTGAAAGATTCCACTCAACATTGTCATACACTCAGTACTTCAGTACTGTAACATTTTTGTTAAGTTGGCTTTTGTTTTAAATGCATGTTTTTTTTTTAAATAATAATATTTCCTATATTTTATGTTATTTGAGGAGCATGAAGTCAGGATCTAATATGTCCACTCTGTTTTCTTTTTCCTTCTATGCTTGTTATCTCATCAAAGAAAGAAATTAAGTTACCTTGATCTGGATTGTTTTGATAATCCCATTTTTATTTACTTGGAGCCATATAGCTCTCTAGGCAATTACTTATTGCTAGCTATTTATGGCCTCATTTGTCTCCTAAGTGCCTATAAATTGACTGCTTTATTAATTGTTCTATTACAATTTCCAGATATTATTGTGCAGTCTGCTGGTGTGTGATTCTGTAAATCATCCTGTCCCTTGCCCCTCTCCTCCTCCTCTAATATTTGGAGATGAGGGATTTGGAAAATACTTAACAATGGATTAACCTTTAAAAATGGAGATGTTGTATCTGCTACTCTAAAGCCATCTGTGTCTCTCTTTTTGGATAACTTTGCAGGTGTTCAATGAAAAATATTTCTTGGTAGAAATTGATGACTTGCGACCAGAATGCGCAACCAGCCGGTCATATGTTTGTCATGTCAATAGTGCTGGTATCTTTCCTGTGCAGTGGAGTCTGAAAAATGGTTTGCATCTCAGCCCTCCGGCAGGTACACATCTGCACTTTTGTTTCACTTGCTGCAATAGGCCTCTTTGAAAGGAAGACTTTTTTTTTTAATTCCCAGAGCACTGTATGGAATTGGCAGAATTCTGGTCATGAATTGAAAGTTCCCTTCCTCCACCTCATAGTGTGATTTAATTTTCTTTGTCACTTTTGTTACTGGGAAAAGTTTACTTATATGTCATAATAGTAATTATTGCACCAGGTAAAAAATCATCTTTCCTGTTCAGCTTTATTTCCTCCCTCCCCAAGTGCTCTGCATAGTGTCTGAGCTTCATTTGAGCTTTTCACTCATTCATAGATACAGCAAGTATAACGTTTGCTTCTTCCCCGCCCTTAAACCAGGCATCCAGAGGTACTGTGACCAAGCAGCAATGCTCTTTCAGCAACCTAACTCCCCAGGCCTGCATTCAGAGCCCTTTAAAAGGTTTCAGACTTCTCTTGTAAGTAGTGCCCAGAGAAATGGTGTCTTCTCTAGAGCAAGTGTGGTGCCTTTGAGATTCCTTCTGGACATAGCTTTGACTGACATGATAGAAAAAAGCATAAATGGCCTCTATCTTAGTTAATCCCCGGAGAGATTAGATGGAATTATTGCAGTTTAACCCATAACAGTATCATAGATGGCATTTCATATTAGCTTTTTGTCTTCTATCAATTCCTAAACCCCAGTTCTGACAGCTAAAGTATTCCCTGTGGAGAGCTATTCACTTTGAAGCAGTGTTACAGCAGTGCTATAGTTCTTCTGTTGCCGAAACCTTGCTAATTTCAGTCACCTTCAGTATCCTATGCTGGCAGAATTGCACAGCAGTGCAGTTTCTTGGTCCCTGCTACCCTTCCTTTGAGTTTTAGACAGAGTACGCAAGGAGTACTCCAAGAAGTCATTCCTTTGCCTGGGTACTGAAGGTTTGGATCTACAGCTCTGTGTTAAGTCTCCCGTATTCCAAATTAATATAGATTTCTTATTATGGGACTAACAAAATAAATTATCAAAACTTTTATTAGAGTAACTACCATGCTTAATGGCTACATAGTGGATTAGCATAGTGATTCATCCTTCTTGCATTAGTTGCAGTAGAGCATAACGTAAACCACCAGGACCTGATCTTGTGTTGCTTACTTGGCAAAACTCCTGGGGTATGTCTACACTACCCTCCTAGTTCGAACTAGGAGGGTAATGTAGGCATACCGCACTTGCAAATGAAGCCCGGGAAATTCAAATCCCGGGCTTCATTTGCAAGTGCGGTATGCCTACATTACCCTCCTAGTTCGAACTAGGAGGGTAATGTAGGCATACCGCACTTGCAAATGAAGCCCGGGAAATTCAAATCCCGGGCTTCATTTGCAAGTGCGGTATGCCTACATTACCCTCCTAGTTCGAACTAGGAGGGTAATGTAGGCATACCGCACTTGCAAATGAAGCCCGGGAAATTCAAATCCCGGGCTTCATTTGCAAGTGCGGTATGCCTACATTACCCCGCTAGTTCGAACTAGCGGGGTAGTGTAGACATACCCCTGTGGATTTCCTTGTACCATGCCTGGGAGTGTTGCTCAGTTGGGCCTTCCATGTGACAGTACAACCCACAGTCCCTGACTGGGAATTGCATCATCCATATCTTGGATAACACAAGCATTTGATTGACTGGAGTCATCTGTTTGGTGCAGTGCAATTAAGCATCCCCTTTGCTTGCTCTTTGCTCAGGTTATCCCGGGCAGGACTTTGATTGGGCGGACTACCTCAAACAGTGTGGTGCTGAGGCTGCTCCCCAGAGCTGTTTTCCGATGGTGAGCTTTTGCAGAAAAATGCCTTTTCTCATATGGGCGGCTACTCAACATGACGTCTACTTACATGAACAACTCCCTTGCTTCTGGTGACTCTTACACATAATGCCTTTGACCCTGTGGTCTAAACTGAGCTCAGATTTGTTCATGAAATAGAAGTGCCTAGAGTGTGTAACAAAGGTGAACTGAAAAGATTGTTAAAAAAAAGTCAGAGTTCCCAGATGAACAAATGACAGCAGCATCTGGTCTGGGAATGGCAGTGAGAACCCAGAGTAAAAGGCACATCTATGAGATGCAACTGCCCGCGGTCTCGCTGCTGCTGCGCTGGTCCTTCATGTGTGTTCAGATGGTACCTTTTCCCTCCTATGAAGGGGTTCAGCCTGTTAGGACTTGAGTTTGCAGTTTTGTCTTTGGTATCACTAGCGGGACGGTTTCTGAGAGTAGCACCAGATGGCTGGTCTCATAACCCTTGCCAGCCCTCTCTGTGGAAAATACTAAGGTAGAGGCAGTTATCAGGGAATCACTCTAACTTCCTGTTTTAGAAGAGGGGGAAGCTTTTCCTCCTTCTTGCCCTCTCTTCTCATTGTCTGAAAATAAAGACTCTGGATTATTTTGAGAGGAGTAGGCGAGAGGTTCTGAGGATGACGACTTTATGGCATCTCTTACGTAGCTCCACCGTGTAGAGGACTGAATTAGATGACCTTTTGAGGTCCCTTACAGCCCCACAATTCTGTGATTCAGGTGGGTGTTGTAAGTAGGGTGGGAAATAACATAAAAACACTTTTTTTTTCCCACCAGAAAAGCCTGCCTTGCTTTCTGCATATCTAGTATTCATTTCAATGAGGCAGGAAACTTATATGGGATTTAATGTAGCTAGGAGTGTCACAGGTGCTGTGTTTTTAAAGGCTTTCCTAGTTATCAGAATGGAATAAGCAAGTCTGAAGGTGCCTTCTGCCCATCAATCTGATTATTTGAGTTTGCTAGTTGCTGGTGTGTGATTTATGGAAGGACTTTCTTGATTCTAGTTTTGGTTAATTCCCATCAGTGAGTCTCCCCATTTAATTTTCTCATGCTCCAGTGCAAATGCAATACTTTGCAAGTACGTCCTTAACTACCAGTCTGCCTTGCTTGTCTGAAATGCCCTTTCACCTGAATATGGTTATGTTGCCCAACATTTGTTAATTACACCAGAAATTCATTCTGAGTCCTTGACTACCCATACATGTTTGAAGCTGCCCATCATGTTTTTGTAATAAAGATTGCATGTTTTCGTCTTCCATGTGGCTGTTTCCATCTGATACATTGATAAATGCACGTCTCCGAACACTCCTTGATCTGTCCTCTTTTTATTAGCTAACTTCCAACCATGGGTTTAAAGAGAACATGAAGCTGGAAGCTGTGAACCCTGTTGATCCTGGGGAAATTTGCATTGCCACAGTCACCAAGGTGAAAGAGACCTACCTCTGGCTTCAGTTGGAGGGTAAGTGCCCCTTAGAGAACAGGAAATTTGCCCCACTCTGACGTGGCCATGAGTCACCATTCTCACCTGGAGATCGATTATCCTAAATCATCAGCTGCAGACACACTCTGCTAAAAATGACCTCGTCTCCTCCTGTAGTTGAAGGACGATACTGTTAGCCCTTTGTCTTGTGCCTTTCCTGGTTATTAAGATTTAAAATGCCACATTTGTTTATCTTGGCGTAAAAATCACCCCATGCAGAAATTTGGAAAGAATCGCTGTCTGTGTCTATCTGTTTTCAGCGTTGTTCTGAAGGCTGATATAGGAGTAAAGTAGCTGATGTAGGAGTAAAGTAGCCTGGTGCTGTATCTCTGCGCAGAGGTAATTTTCACTCGAGTGAAGGTTTGATCCAGGTTGGTAGCATGGCAGCTGGAGAAGATCGCTGCAACAGAAAATCTAACAGGAGAAAGTGGCCTTTGCATGCTGCTTTACGTGCCATTTCTTTCACAGTAGAACCTCAAAGATCTGAGCAGCAGAGTTACAGATTTACTGGTCAACCGGACATCCTGTGGAGCCAGAAGTCTGCAACTAGGCAGCAGCAACCCCCCTCCTCCCAAAATCAAATGCAGTACTGTCTCTAGGGGACAGGGGGCTGGGCCTGCAGCCATGGTGGGGCAGTCAGGGCTCTGGGCACAGTGGGATGACTCGGGGCTTCTGATGGTGGAGAGTGCTGGGGCTCAGAGCTTTGGCCCTGCAGTTAGCTCCTGATTTCAGCATCATGGGAATGCTGGAGCCCAGGATGTGATCTATGAGGGACACGCTAGCAGTCCCCACCTTCCCAGAGTTAAAGCCCCAACCCCTGGTGCCACCCTGCCCCTGCACTCCTCCCATGTCTAAATCCCCGAGCCCCAGTGCTCCCAGGGGGCAGAAGCCCTGAGCCCTAGCACCCTGAGGGTCAAAATCCCCAACTCCCACCTTCACCCAGAGCCCTGAACTGCTCCTTCAGCTGCAGGCCCAACCCCCTACGTGGCTGATGCCTGCAATCTGTTGGTCCGAATTATAACATTGCAGAGTTACCGACAGCCTTCAGTCCCGAGGTGCCCACAACTCGAGGTTCTACTGTAATCTTAGCGCATGTGCAATGTGCCTCAAGTGGCATGTGACCAGGATTCATCAATGAAATTGGTCTGAGTCAGGTATTGATGGGGAGAGCGATGTGAACACAGACCCAGGCCCCCCTTGGTTTTATTTAAAGGTGCATTTACTATACCCTGTGCTACTCTGCTGAACGAATGGTGACAAACTCCTGCTTCTCCAGCTTTTGGAAGTGAACAATTGAAATCTGGAAATAGTTGATGATAAATGAAGGAAGGGGGAAATAGTAAACCAGTGGCACTATTTTGCAATTATGTTGGGGTACATATAGAATTTTGAAAATTGCTGGTTTCAGTTAAATTTTACTTCTTTTAACTGAACAGGCTCCAAAAAGCCAGTCCCTGAATGCATCGTGAATGTGGAATCGATGAATATATTTCCAGTGGGTTGGTGTGAGACCAATGGATACCAGCTCAGACCTCCTCGCAAAGCAATAGGTAACCAGTTCTGTTCTCTTTGTAATTACTAGCAATAAAGGTGCAAGATAGAAAGTCTTGGAAGCTCTGATGAGCATTCTTGCTGCAGAATTACCCGTCATACTTCAGAAAACTACAAATGGAAGTGTCCCCTCATTTTTAAAAATGTATGCCATTACCAGTGTCTGATGCACAAAATACGCACATGGGATATTTTTAGGAAAATTTCACTTGGGAGAGCAGGGAGGAAAAGTGAGAGACAATACAAACTTGTGCTTTCATATGCATTATGCAATGCAAAATGGCTAACAATACCATAGTATGGGCAGCATACAGCCTTGATGGTCAATTCAGAATGAAATTGAAAATGATACAAGGGGCACATTAGAAGTGTCCAGCTGCAACATGACATTTGTATAAAATAAATAGCAATCTCCAACATGTCTGTAAAGACAGTCTGCGTAAGCTTTACATTGATTCCTCTGTCAGACAGTTCTTCAAAGTGTCTAGCTCCTCAAAGCACAAGCACAGGACCGTGTTTCACCAAATCCATCTCTTATATGCCTTTCTCTTATAGCAGAATTGTTTTCACTATTCAAAGGCCTGGATTGTAACATGCATTGGTAGCTAAACAGCGCACTTAACATGGAGCTTTTTTTTTTTTTTTTTTTACTTTACAACATTAACTTGCTCACCTCTCCTTGTCTAGAACTTCTTGGGGATGTTAAATTGCCCAGTTTGACCTGTTAAATGTTCAGATGTCTCACACCCATCTGTGCTGTGGTAAGGCAGACATGCCGCTTGATTGATTTATCCTTCTGGTTGCTGTTGTACATGCTTTGACTAGCTTGAAAGAGACAAGTTTTGTGCACGGAATTATCTTCACAAAGCTGAGATTTTCACAGCTGGCTTGTGGAGTTGATTCCCAACTTTAATTAATTTCAGTGGAAATTGGGCATCCAGATATCTTCCTAAGCATCTTTGGATAATCTCAGCCCAGATGACTGTGATGTAAAGCTTGTGTCTGTTGTTATATGATTGCAGCAGTTTTTACATGTAGATACTTTTGTCTTAGTAAATGTTTTGTAATGGATGTTTTAACTGGCTTGGCTACCTTTTTTGTATCTTTTCTTTTATCCTACCCTCTCCACCTTCCCCCCTCCCTTCCCCCGGAATCCCAATCTGGATTTACAGTGAACAAACAGAAGAAAATCGCTGTGGTTCAACCAGAGAAACAGTGAGTCTCAAGGTTATTACAGTTGCAACCAGTATGCATGGTGATTTGCCTTTGTAACTTGGGTTTCATAGGAAAGATACAGTGAAGTTTGTTGGGCTGCAGTTTATCTTTTTAATTAATTCTCCCTGATATTTAAAAAACAATCTTTGCCCTTCTGAAATGAGATCAGTGTCACTGCTAAGGACACCTTTTGTGTGGGAAGCTGGAATTTTAACTGGTACCTATAGACTGCATTGCTTGTTAATGTATCTTCTCACTCTGGCTTCCTCCCTCGTTTCCAAACAGCTAACCCTAACCACTATGGGAGGAGACTTTGCTTAATTTTATGCTGTCCAAAAATATTTGTCAGTGTTGTCGTCATGTGGCTTTTCTTAAGGAATCCTTGAACTATTATATTGGTTATCCTGAGTTGGGATGACTGCTTCGAGATCATGTGGCTTTTCTGAAGGAAGCCTTGAACTATTGTATTGGTTATCCTGAGTTGGGATGACTGCTTCGAGTCCTTTCAGTTTATTTTCAGATTCATTCTCCCTTCAGTGCACACAGCCACCTTCTTAGTGTTCATGTGAGTGCAATGTCCGGGTGTACTGAGGAACAGAATCGGATTTCCTCAGTGTTCCGTTGTGCAGTTGAGATTTACACATTACTTAATGGGAATGTTCAGCTGAGCCATGTGAGAACTCTCCTTCAAATGGTGTGCAGCGAGGGGGTTCCTCCAGAGCTGGAGCTGTATAACAAGAGATGCATACCACATTGGAAAACCTTCCCACGTCTCCGTGTGTCTCTGTGCCCCCACTCAGCCACTCCCTTGTTCCTATGTGGACCTGCACCCGATCCCCATTACCCTGTGTCCTTTCTCAGCCATCCCTCCTCCTCCTCTGGCTCTCCACCTCCCTCCCTGCCTGTATGGCCTTACATCTTCTGCCTTGCTGTGGCCCTGAGCCTCCCCTCCCATTCATTCCCTTTCCTGGGCTGTTCTCCCCCATTAGCCCTTTTGAGACCCTTTCCGACCCCAACAACCCCCAGCTGTGCAGAAATAAGGGTAGCAATACTGCATCCCCATACACACCTCCTTGCAGTGCCTGCACCCCTACAATAACAGCATTGAAATTTCAGATCTAAATACCTGAGTTCATGAAGTTTATCGTTTTTAAAATACTGTGACTGTGAAATTGACTTGAATGGACCATGGATTTGGATTTAATTATGTGCCTGCGCAGTGGCACAGAATTCCCCAGGAGTAACCTTTCTGTGACTCAGCTATCAATCTGACACGCATTCTACTTTTTAAGCAAGGGAAGACCACCACTGGCATAGAGCTGAGCTAGATCAACACAATTGGCTCTTTCTACACCAAGACTCTGCAGTTGGAACATCCTGAGTAAAGTAGTTTAGTAGTACTAAAGATAATTGAAACCAAAGACTTTATGGAGTCCTAGGGCTGGAAGAGACCTCAGGAGGTCATCGAGTCCAGCCCCCTACCCAAAGCAGGATTAACCCTAAACCTTGACACACTAAGAGAAAGAACCTAGCCTTTTAGCAATCAAGAGATTGATGTATAAGCCTTGTTCCTTTCCCAACCCTCTCTTCATTTCAGAATTTTGTCTTCAAGGACAGTCCATGAGAGATTGAAGAACCAGGAGCTGAACTCCACTGACTCAGGTAAATGACATGTTCATTGGATTAAGAAGTTAGGAGAGTTCTGTATCTTAATGGCATAATTGTCCAGCTGCTCAATAACTTCAGCAGCCCTGCATTAGTACAATAGAGAAAAAGCTTTTCCTAGGGATAATCATTGGCAAGAAAGAATGAACTTGGTAACCGCAAATGTTACTGAACATGGCACAATGAGAACATGTTATCTTGATACTGAAATTTGAATTACTCTAGCACCTGGTCTTTTCTCCCAGCAAAGGGTGTGCTGGGAGCACCTGGAGCCAAAACGTTTAGTCATTGTTTACACAACACTTTTCTCGAAGCTATCTGAGTGGTATACATACCAGTACATCTCCTATGCAGTGTGTGGGAAGGAATTAATATCTGAGAATCCCCTCAGTAAAAATTTATTAAAACAATATTGAGAGAGATGCATAAAACTGGCACTTGGGTTGGGTTATTGTAACAAACACTTCACGCTGGATAGTTCAAATACTATACTGATGTGCAGGTTTGTTTGTCTTTGTGATCACTTGGTCATCACTAATAAGAAAGGCTGTTCCAAGTGTAAAATAACTCATGCCAAATATTGAAATCTACTCATTTTCTAAACTATTGACACAATGTATAGGATATGTACATCTGCTGAGGAAACAGCTATACAATTCTATCAGTATAGCATCTAAACCTACATTTTGCTGTTTCTCACACAGTGAAATGTATGTCTGAGGCTGTACCACTTTGCATATTAATTGGTTTTCTAAATGGAGCTATAATATCAATATGACTTCCTCTGGTTCTCAGTTATAGGAAGTGTAGTGCCTTTTTAAATTAGAGTGCTTCTCAATCAGAATGATAGGACAACTAGAGTAAAATTATTTTTATATTTATATCTCCATAAATGTATTTATGTAGCAGTTTAAATTCTGAAGGATGCCAAAGTGTTTTGCATGTCAGTTAAAGTCGGGAAACTAAAAACAAAGGTTACTTTAGACAGCATTAAAAATCCAGCAACAGGAACAATGCAAAGCAATATCATACAACAGTTTAGGATAGCAAGTGGCAAACAGCTTTTCCAATTGAAACTTCAAGAGGAATTTAGGGAGCAGTAATTACTGGACTTTGAAATGTGTCCAGAACTCTGGTGCTTGAATTACTAATCTTGCAAGAAGTGCAGTCTGTTTTCCAGGAGTAGTAGGTGGCTAGGACTTGTGTTGTTTCCCTTAGAAAATCAGGCTTACTCAGAAGAAAGAATATCTCTCACTGACTCTCAAGCTCCATTTTCTTCAGTACTCTTGTTGGCTTGTTTGCAGTACTCCAGGCTTGCAAGTTCTAATACTTTCCCAGAAGAAGACCGCATGGGTGCAAGACATAGACTTGCATGAGAATCAATACATAACCTGACCATATGTTGCAGAGCCACTTGCTAGTGTATGCCTATTTCACCTGTATAATACTCACCAATCCACCTTCACTGGGATTTCCCGTGTTTCAAACATGAAGAACTTTAAATTGCCAGGTTTTGATTGACTTTTTTATAACCAATTTGCCACAGAAATGTTTCCTAACTATCCTTTTTATCCCCTTTCAACTCCTCCGTCTTCTACTTCCCCACATTGAATAATATTACATTTCCCCAATATCAGTGGCCCGAGGTCTCTGACACCAAGGCTATGTCTAGACTGGCATGATTTTCCGCATATGCTTTTAACGGAAAAGTTTTCCGTTAAAAGCATTTGCGGAAAAGAGCGTCTAGATTGGCACGGACGCTTTTCCGCAAAAGCACTTTTGCACAAAAGCATCCGTGCCAATCTAGACGTGCTTTTGCGCAAAAAAGCCCCGATCGCCATTTTTGCAATCAGGGCTTTTTTGTGCAAAACAAATCTGAGCTGTCTACACTGGCCCTTTTGCGCAAAAGGACTTTTGCCTGAACGGGATCAGCATAGTATTTCCGCAAGAAGCGCTGATTTCTTACATGAGATCGTCGGTGTTCTTGCGGAAATTCAAGTGGCCAGTTCAGACAGCTGGCAAGTTTTTCACAAAAGCAGATGCTTTTTCAGAAAAACTTGTCAGTCTAGACACAGCCCAAGTGTTCAGGACCAGTGATTCATGATAAGCGCCAATATTTCCCATCAGGACTAGAAATGTGTGCTTTAGATCTTTTGGAAAGAGAAACAGCCTGTTTTTAACGTGGCTCATATTATGTACTCTTTTTTTCAATAACCCTCTAAAACTGTATTGGTGGTAACTTGCACATCTGTCTGCTTCTGAAGACAGGCATCTTATTTACTCGGCCTCATGCAAGGCTTTTGAAAAGGAATGAATTCTGGAGCCTTTTAAAAATGACCTAAAATAGCAAGTACTTATGCCTGCTTTCTCCAATCATTCCCTGTCTCAAAGTGCTGTGTCTTCCTTTGATAATCTGCTGTTTTTAACAGCACAAAACTCCCATCTCTAGCCTTGATTTAAAAAAAGTCTTGGCAGTCGCATGCCTGTAGTTGCTTTGGGGATAACTATTCTCTGTCCCGTGTCTCAGAACACTGACACTGTGTAGGAAAAGGAAGCAACCTTTCTCTGGCTTTTTTTGTTTGTTTTGAAGTTTGTCTTATTGCTTAGAATTGGCAGTGCACAGATGAAATGGGCAGTCTCAAAGGCTCATGACAAATTGCAGAGCTGTAAGACTGGATTCAGTTTGGGGCTCACTTGCTCACTTTGTTTTATGAATATTGCCAATACATAAACGGGGTGAGCATGCACATAAAATATAAGTACCTCTCAGCAACATCTATTCTAGTCAGTGCTGTAGTAAAGCAAGGCAAATGTAACGCTTTAACTCCCCAAATGTAAACTTTTTTTTACCAAATATGAAACTTTCCAAGAAGCCAGTCATGGCTGGGTTGATTGCATAGCATGAGCTAAGTCTTTGCTGCTACTTTTCATTTCTCAGTTGTAATTAATGGCAAGTACTGCTGTCCAAAGATCTACTTCAACCACCGATGCTTCTCAGGGCCTTACCTCAACAAAGGGAGAATTGCAGAGCTGCCTCAGTCGGTGGGACCTGGGAACTGCGTTCTTGTCCTTAAAGAGGTGAGAGGGTTACTGCTGTGTGGATGTGTACAGTTCTACATATTACACTCCAGACTGACTCTCTAATTAGAGAGAGGTGATGGACTAATCAATATAATGGGATGATTATTGTTGGTGAGCTGAGAGTTCTGTTTAAAATTAAAATGAAGTATAAGGCACTGAGTGGTAAGACACGTGGTAAAATACCTCTGATCTGCCGGAGATCAATGTTCCCGCTAATATTTTCCATGTGTGTGCAGAATGAATGTGGTTATTACTGCCACAATGGTGTTGCAGATATGCGGATGTGCGTCATCACCTCTGTACTTCTACAGCTTCCCTTCTCCCACCAAGAGCTCACAACATCCTACTGCTAGTACCTTACCTGGGTTGGGGAGGAGGTCTGCCTTTATGTGATGTCTTCAGTATCTGTCCATTCCTACAGCTTCCTTCCACAAGATGAGTCCATGCTTCTCAAACTATACTTATAAATGCAACTCTGAAATTCAGTTGTCGCTGGGGAGGAAAGTCAGCAGCCAGCTAGGCCAACAGCACAGAAAGCGCTGTGCAGTAGTTTGGTAAGAGAAGGGAAGTTTTGGATTAGACAACTCTTTTTCTCTTATGCACCATGCTTGGGATATTTAATGTTAAGACAGGGCTTCATATGTAAAGGTCTCATCTGAATGTGAAATTTCAATATTAGAAATCAAAGTAAATGATTCTTTTAAAATCAGGAACTAAGTTTTAGAAAGCACTCAAATTCCCCGTACTACCATCCTCTTGTATTAATACAGACTGCACCTCTAAACCGGAACACTCTGGTCCAGCAACATCTGTGATCCAGCAGGAACACGGATGTTCTAGGATCAGAGAGTCCTGGGGCATTGTGGGAGGAGCACAGCGTGATGCAGAGAGGGACTTGGGGAGTCTGGCGCAATGCAGCGGGGGCAGGAGACTGAGAGCCCAGTGCGCATGGCTCAGCTGGGTTGTGGGAGGGGAGCCGGAAAGGCCAGCACATGGCCCAGCTGGGCTGCTGGAAAGCCCGATGGGGCAGTAGGACGGGGGTGGGGTGAGAAATGACTTCTCCTACTCTGGCAACATCTCTCATCTGGGACCAGTCAGGTCCCGAGGGTGCCAGACCAGGGATATCCAGCCTCTAGTACAAAGTGCTGATATTGCTGATAGTAGGATAGTTCATCTCTAGTAAAATCCCTAAAACATCCAGTTAGTTCATAGTATTATAGCACTTCTTCCTTTTTTTTTTCTTTTAGTTAGTCTAAAAAAGCATTTCAGGCAGCCCCAAAAGCTTCGAATCTATTGTGTTATGTTGGAAAATGTCCTATGGAAAAATTTAGAATGGTACAGAATATTCCCATCTGAATAAGAAAACTCTATTTAAATTGTTTTTTGCATTTAGTTGCAGATACTTAATTGGGCTTGTGTCTGTGTAAGTCTGCCAGATTCGTGACTTTTCACTCTCACAGAACATTGTGAGTGAAAATGGATACGTTTTCCAATTGAAACTGTCTCTTTTCAAGCATATATTACACAGCAAATCATGTGAAAAATGTCCCTTGTGTCAGAGACCGTTTTGACGAATTTTCTATCAACAATCAGTCCGGGGTGCAATATCTCCTGCAGTGAAATGGTGAATACTTTCTTTGGGAAGTTCCTCTAAACTATTTTCCCCAGTTCAGACCAACTCTCCCAGAATGAATAGGATGTGGGTGTTAACTATATCCTCTGCTTTGTTCCATCAAACAAACATCAGGAAGCAAAAATCACAGGGAACACTTTCTGGCAACCAACCTTCATGTTGGCACAGCCACATCTGTTTGATTTTAATGAAAAATTCAAACCATGCCATGCACAAAAATCTCTGGGGTGGTCAAATGGCCTGAACCCCATCTACAGCTTCTATGATAGTTAGCATTTGGAAGGCTGCACTGCTGCAGAAAGGTGCCTTTTTTAATGAAAAGCCACTGTATGGGTATGTCTACTCTACAAAGTTAATTCGAACTAACGGACGTTAGTTTGAATTAACTTTGATAGGCGCTACACTAGCGCTCCGCTAGTTCGAACTTAATTCGAACTAGGGGAGCACTTACTTTGAACTAGGTAAACCTCATTCTACGAGGACTAAGCCTAGTTCGAACTTACTAGTTCGAATTAAGGGGTGTGTAGCCCCTTAATTCGAACTAATGGGAGGCTAGCCCTCCCCAGATTTCCCTGGTGGCCACTCTGGCCAACACCAGGGAAACTCTATGCCCCCCTCCCGGCCCCGGACCCCTTAAAGGGGCACGGGCTGGCTACGATGCCCGTGCCAGGTGCAAGCCTGCCAGCACCCAGCTAGCAGACCCTGCACCTGGCACGGCACAGAGCCACCCACCCGATG